ACAGTTCTGGGTGGTGATTCTGGAGCGAGGAGGAATGCTGACATGGTGAAGCTTGTAGTGGTGGTGGAAAGGAAATCCTCCTCACAGTTTCAAGGCAGAAAAGAGTGAGTGTGATCACTCACAGCACAGGCCAGGAAAGGAATAAACACTTTGTCCTTGACCATAACACCTTGGAAGAACTGAAAACTTATAGGTTCCTAGAAGTATCCCTGAAAACAGCTGCACAAAACCCCCAAAGCTTGGGACAGCACATTCTCCACATTGGAAGCAGATGCCTACCTTAACAAAGAGTTTATAACTCAGGTAATTGGATGGGATCATGAGCAAACAAAGGTGCAAAAAAGTCAGACCCCAGAATCTTTCTTTGGTAACAAAGAAGATCAAAACATTCAACCAGAAGAAGACAACAAAGGCAAAACTCCTACATCCAAAGCCTCCAAGAAAAATATGAATCAGTCCCAGGCCATGGAAGAACTCATAAAGGATTTTTGAGAAGAAAGTAAGAGAAGAAGTGGAAAAATTGGGAAGAAAAATGAGAGTGATGCAAGAAAATCATGAAAAACAAGTCCACAGCTTGCTAAAGGAGACCCAAAACATCCTGAAGAAAATAATACCTTAAAAAATAGCCTAACCCAAATGGCAAAAGAGATCAAAAAGCCAATGAGGAGGAGAATGCCTTAAAAAGCAAAATTGGCCAAATGGAAAATTTTTAAAGAAGTATTTTCTTCAGTAAGCTTTTATAAAGGAAATCTAAAAGCTTACTGAAGAAAATGCTTCCTTAAAAATTAGAATGGAGCAATTGGAAATTAGTGACTTTATGAGAAGTCAAGACATTGTAAAGCGAAACCAAAAAAATGAAAAAAAAAAAAGAAACAATGTGAAATATCTCATTGGAAAAATAACTGACTTGGAAAATAGATCCAGGAGAGATAATTCAAAAATTATTGGACTATCTGAAAATTATAATCAAAAAAAGAACCTAGATATCATCTTTCAAGGAATTGTCAAGGAAAACTGATATTCTAGAACCAGAGGGTAAAATAGAAATTGAAAGAATCCATTAATCATGTCCTGAAAGAGATCCCCAAAGGAAAACCCCTAGGAATAGTGTAGCCAAATTCCAGAGTTCCCAGGTCAGGGAGAAAATATTGCAAGCAGCCAGAAAGTGCTCTACCCAGTAATAAGGACATCAAGAAAGCCTGTGAAAATGTTAACTATTATTGTTAATATGGAAAGAATGATTCAGTAATTAACATTGATGATAATTTATTGATACACGGGTCACTATAGGATCATCAATTTAGAGCTCTAAGGGGTCTTAGAGATCATCAGTTGAACTGCTTCATTTTATAGTCAAGTAATCTGAAGCACAGAGAGGCTAAGTAATTTTCCTAGGGTCACACAGCTGGGAAATTACTTAAGATTTGACTACATGTATTTCTACCTCTACTTTCAGTATGTTATCTACCATGTTATGCTATATCTCATAAAACCTGAGCAATCATGAAGAGTCTAGAACCCTCAGTCTTTTGATGTGAAAAGTGTATTATTCCAGTTAGGTTGGAGCTAAAACTTAATAAATAATGAGAGAAATGCCATAAGAAATCTTATAGAAGTCTGTAACCATCAAAATTCTGCTTTGAAAAGTGCCATAGTACAGCCTGTAAATAAGACTCATTTCATCTCTCCATCTATAAATGACTTCTATTTTTACCAATTTCCTTAAGATTACATAGGTAGACAGTAAAAAAAATCACATAACGTAGAAAATATCAAGGTCATCTCTATTATGAACTGAAATAAGACCCCTCTAAGGCAGGGTTTTGAGCTATGGTGATATCATTGTTTCATGACACTATAAAAATTTATGAAAGTCAAGTTACATTTCAGAATCTCATTTTACAACTTTAACAATCATTTAGACTTTATAGTTAATACTACTGTCTCCAGGCATGGACAGCATTCTAATTGGACCTTAGTTTCTCATCACCCACCCCATGCATGGCTCTTCTTACTATAGTAATTTCTTATAATTTCATAATTCTATCGACTTAAATAATTAATAATACATTTGTCTTTTGTTTGGAGGAAGGTGATTTCTTATTAAAATCATTGTGTGACTGAATCTGTGTGTACATATATGTGTATTTGTGTGTGTGTGTGTGTGTGTGTATGAGTGTGTAAAATTGTTTGGATATGACAGGACTTTTCATTAAGAGTGTTCTATACTTGTGAAAAGGTTTTTTTTCTTTTTTTTCTGACTCCATCAAACTTCTGTCACAGTAACAGTGGGAAAATTCTCTTTCCCCCTCCAGCAGTATACTAAGGAAGCAGTTACCTTTCTTTAATTGGGTTTCCTGTCATACTGCAATTTAAATTAAAAAAAAACTGTTTTGGGCATATGTAATGTTGCTGATGAATTTACAAAATTGTCTAAAACAAATTAAATGACTTTAAGTAGTGTCTAAACACATAACCCCACTAACATATAAATATTATTTTCTTCATGCTTTCTCAAAGCTTACAGAAAAATTAATCATTTATTATTTTAGTTATAGTTAGGACATGAGGCTTGAAGCCGGAAGACTTGGTTCTATTCTTTCCTTGTTTTTTTTTCTTTTTGTTTGTTTGCTTTTGTTTGTTTGTTTTTGTTTTTTAATTTTTTTTACCACGAACTTGATTGCAGTGGATCCATCATTTATTTAATGTATGGTGTTCAATTCTGGTGGTCATATTTAATAAAGTTATTGATAAGCTGGTGTGTTGAGAGGAGGATAACAAAGATGCTGAAGAATCACGTGATTATACCCAATTTGTTGAAGGAATTATGTTTTTTTACCCTGGAGAAAAGACGACTTGGGGCAACATGATATCCATCTTCAAGTATTTGAAGAGCTGTCATGAAGAAGAGGAAATAAATTTGTTTTATTTTGCCCTGAAGAGAATAATGAGGAGCAATAGTTAAAAGTTGAAGATAGGAAGATTTAAGTTTGATATCAGGAAAATTTTATAACAATTTGCTTGTGGTATAGATTATTAAGATATAATTTTTATATGGTACTCTCAGATGAGAAAGCTACCTCTTAACAGTGGCAATTATAATCTTCTAGCATTAGAGAACTCCCTAGATTGCTGAGAAGTTAAATGACTTGAAGAGAATCACATAACAAATATACAACAGAGGTAAGATTTGAACCTGGGTCTTCCTGGCTCAAGAATCTCTCTGTCCATCACAATTCCTGGTCTTATCAAATTGGCCAGAAGAAAATGATCTAGTAATGTTCCTAGCCAAGTCTCATGGCAGACAATTGTCTCCTCTCCCTCAACAAATTCACCAGTTCTGACCATTTAACTAATTGGAAACATTTCCTGAACCCTCTTCTTTTCCCTCTCTTTCCTTCCTTCCTTCCTTCCTTCCTTCCTTCCTTCTTTCCTTCCTTCCTTCCTTCCTTCCATTCATGGAAAGATTCATTCTTGAGGCAGGGCTAGGAGGATGGAGATGACAGGGAAAAGAGTGTATTATCTGTGAATCCCTCTCTATCTCAATTTATTCATCTGTAAAATGGGAATAATCACATTTGGATTACCTGTCTAACAGAGTTGTTATGAGGGGAAAAGGACTCTGTAAACTAGAAATTCATATGTATGCGTAAGCTACAATTATTGCTAAATAAATCTAGCTATTTTTTTTCTCTCAACAAGGGAGGTGAGGCCTATGTTCAGCACAATTGTAGTGTCACAGAAAGCTCTGAAACTGAAGTCAGTTGAGTTCTAGGGTCTAATTACACTTCTGAACCTATTAACTATGTAACTATGAACATTTTCCTTCATTTTATTATTCTCTGAGCTTTGGTTTCTTCATTGGTAATATGAGATAATATCAATAATACTTTTAGCATATGCTCCAAGATTTTGTCTGAGGATCAAATAAGATAAAACATGTAAGGTACTTAATAACTTTCAGCTATGATTATTTATTTCAGGTCAATTGATATACCTTCACCTGGAGTAGAGCCTTATATTTCTGGTTGCACTTGCTCTTCTCAGTCCTTACAGTGTCAGCCTCATTTTGTGTCAAGCATAGCAGTCCATCATATCTTTTTTTATATGACTTGGTAAATTAACTGTTACCAATATTGATTGGGTCTGACTTGACACCATCCATTTGAATTGTCAGATTGTAGCATTTAGAGCCTGAAAGTGGCTTGAGGGTCATCTCTTCCAATGCCATTATTTTACATATGAAGAAAACCAGAACCAGGAAGATGAAGTTACTTACCAAAGGTCTCAATTGTAGTAAAACAGAGCAGCATTCAAAAGCCAAAGCTGGATTCCAAATGCATAATCTTTCCTCAATCAAAAGTAGCAAATTCCTGATTGCTGGTTACAAAACTCCCAATGGTGGTCCAAAACAAATTAAAGTGTAATTGAGAAATGTTTAACAAAATAAATAAAAATACAATAAAGCATAAAGGATGTTAATTTGTGGCTTTCTAAGTCAATATATCTCTGTAGGGCATTTCTATTTGAGTTTGACACCACTACTCTATCTTATCCTACTTAGAAGAGAATTAAATGAGAGTGGCAAAAAAGCATAATGGAGTCACAGAGTTCAGGATAGTATATTATAATATTTGTGATACAAATATAGAAATATTCCCACCTTATCATCTCTTCATAGTGAGTTTTAAATGGCAAAAGCATATGATTAATTAGCAAGTGGATATTGAATGCTTATGATGGTTCACTATATTCAGCTATATTCTCTTCTAAACCTATGGAACCATTGAATTCCATTTTCTCCCAATAGTGGCCTCAATTAAAAATCTGATTGGGTAACCACTGACCATTTCACACACACTATATCATCTCTGGGTCTCTATTGCATCATCTTCAACTTATCTTGCTGACTTTCTGATTTTCAAGGCAATATAACAAACAAAAGGCCAAGGTCTCCCACTGCACACTGGGTCATCATCAGTCATCAAGAATTATGTCTTGTGCTCACTTTGGCAGCACATATACTAAAATAGGAATGATGCAGAGAAGATTAGCATGGGGCCCTGTGCAAGGATGACAGGCAAAGTCATGAAGTGTTCCATATTTTTAGAAAAATAAATTGAAAGTATTAGAATAGGCAAAGAAGCAACAAAGCTATCACTCTTTGCAGATGATATGATGATATACTTAAAGAATCCTAGAGAATCAAGAAAAAAGCTATTTGAAATAATAAACACCTTTAGCAAAATTGAAGGCTATAAAATAAACCCACATAAATCAGCAGCATGTATATAAATTACCAACAAAGCCCAAAAGCAAAAGATAGAAAGAAAAATTCCATTAAAAGTTACTATAAACATTTTAAAATATTTAGGAGTCTACCTACCTAAACAAACCCAAGAACTATATGAACACAATTACAAAACACTTTTCACACAACTAAAGTCAAATCTAGATAATTGGAAAAAACATCAGTTGCTCATGGGTAGGCCAAGCTAACAAAATAAAAATGACAATTCTACCTAAGCTCCTTTTCTTATTCAGTGCCATACCAATCAAACTACCAAAAATATTTATAGAGTTAGAAAAAATAATAACAAGATTCATTTGGAAGAACAAAAGGTCCAGAATATCAAGGGAACTAATGAAAAGAAATGCAGGGGAAGGTAGCCTAGCCGTTCCAAATCTTAAATTGTATTATAAAGCAGCAATCATTAAAACTGCTTGGTACTGGCTAAGAAATAAAGTGGTGGATCAGTGAAATAGATTAAATATGCAAGACACAATAGTCAATGACTATAGTAATCTATTATTTGATAAACCCAAAGACACCGGCTTCTGGGATAAGAACTCACTCTTTGACAAAAACCACTGGGAAAACTGGAAAAAATTATGGCAGAAACTGGATCAAAATCTCACACCATATACCAAAATAAAGTCAAAATGGGTTCATGATTTAGATGTGAAGGCTGATACTGTAAGCAAACTGGGAGAGCAAGGAATAGTTTACCTATCAGATTTATGGAGAGCAGAATTCATGACCAAACAGGAGAAAGAGAACATTATCAAAAGCAAAATGGATAACTTTGATCATATTAAATTGAAAAGATTTTGCACAAACAAAGCCAATGCAACCAAGATCAGAAGGAAAGTAGAAAATTGGGAAAGAACTTTTACAACCAGTCTCTCTGATAAGGGCCTCATTTCTAAAATATATAGAGAATCAAGTCAAATTTATAAGAATACAAGTCACTCCCCAGTTGATAAATGGTCAAAGGATATGAACAGGCAATTCTCAGATGAAGAAATTAATGCCATCTATAGTCATATGAAAAAATACTCTAAATCACTATTGATTGGAGAAATGCAAAACAAAACAACTTTGAGGTATCACATCACACCTGTCAGATTGGCCAACATGAGAAAACAGGAAAATGATAAAGGTTGGAGAAGATGTGGGAAAATTGGAACACTAATGCATTGTTGGTGGAGTTGTGAAATGATCCAACCATTTTGGAGAGCAATTTGGAACTATGCCCAAAGGGCTATAAAAATGTGCCTACCCTTTGACCCAGCAACAGCACTTCTAGGGCTATATACCAGAGAGATCATACAAATGGGAAAAGGACCCACATGTACAAAAATATTTATAGCAGCTCTTTTGTGGTAGCAAAGAATTGGAAATTGAGAGGATGCCCATCAATTGGGGAGTGGCTGAACAAGTTGTGGTATAAGAATGTAATGGAATACTATTGTCCTATAAGAAATGATGAGCAGGCAGACTTCAGAAAAAACTGGAAAGACTTACATGAACTGATGTTGAGTGAAGTGAGCAAAACCAGGAGAATGTTGTACACAGTAACAGCCACGTTATAAGATGATCAAAATTGATAGACTTAGCCCTTCTCAGCAATACAAGGATCTAAGACATCTCCAAAGGCCTCATGATGGAAAATGCTATCCACAAAGAAGAAAGAACTATGGAGTTTGAGTGTAGATCGAAACATACTATTTGCTGTTTTTTTTTTCTTCTGTTGTGTTTTGTTTCCTCTTTCTGGTAGTTCCTCCTATTGGTTCTAATTCTTACTTACAACATCACTAATGTGAAAATATGTATATGTGAATGTATATGTACAGCCTATATCAGATTGCATGCCGTCTTGGGGAGGGAAATGGGAGGGAGGGGGAGAAAAATTTAAAAGTCAAAAGCTGATAGAAGTGATTATTGATAATTCAAAATAAATAAATTAAAAAATAAAATAAAGAGCAAAAAGAAATTATGTCTCGTCACTGGACTCCAAAGACTCTGAAGGAGACAGTGAGGCTGATGATTTTGCACAACTCTGCATCACTTAAATCCAATTCACTTGCAAGTCAAGAAATCACATTCCTGATGTCATTGGTTCTATTTGAGAATGAAGGACAAACAACAACAATAATATAACATCATATGGGAGTGATGTAATTTATATAAACTTCCTCAATCAAAGTCAATATGTCTTTGATTTTATTTGGTAGTATTAATATTTAAACATTTATCTCTTTGGTATTGATTCACCTCTTGCATTTGCCATGATACTTTTGGTACTCTTGATTTGTTATTTCATAATTTCTCTAGTGATTTCTAGTAACAAATACAACTAATTTGCTACTATTCTGATAAGTGTACCTAGAGATGGTATCTAAAACAATTGATATAAGGAACATTTCTGACTGTTACATGCTGTCATCTTCACTGCTTCAGACATAAATAGAAACTAATATTAGTGGAAATTTTTGAATAATTAGGTGGAGAAAGAAAAAAAATAGGTTATTATTAAACAATATGAAGTTAACAATATCAGAATGCAAAGTGTTAGAATGTTAGAGCTCCCTGATTACTCATTTTCAGGTTGTGAAAGTAAACTGCGGAAATTTTTAAATAACTTCACACCATTAATTTGTTGAGTGTAAGGTCAATGCTGGAGATGTGGCATTCAATATATTCATAGAATCTCTGAGTTTTGAGGGACCTCAGAGGTCATCTTGGGCTGCTGAACAATGAAGGAGTTCTTACAACAATTCCTGTGACAAGATATTCAACTTGAGCTCCTTCAGTGATGGGGAATTCACTAATTGGAGGCATTTTTTTGTATAGATTTGATAGGAAATTGTTCTACTTATATGGATATGAATTCTACCTTTTAGTAACTTAACTCATTTGTCTTAGGTTTGGGCTTTGGGAGTTAGGTAGAACAAATTTATTTCCTTTTTTATGTGACAAACTTACAAGCATTTGAAGTCAGCTGTCATATGCTTTTTGAAGTGTTCTCTTCGAACTAATCACTCCTAGTTCCTTTAACTAATAATGATATGGTACTGGTTTCAATGACTCTTACTCTTCTAATGACTCTCTTTTGGACACATGTTCTAGTTTGTTCAGTTCAGTATAACTCAATTTAATTCATGTTGTTGGACCACTGTATTAAAAACTGGGATAGATACAATGATGGAAAATAAACAATTATAGTCCTTGTCCTTATGGAGCTTACAATCTTGAGTAGGGGTGGAGGTGTGGATAACATATAAACACACTAGTAAACAGAGTCATGAACATGGGGGTCAAAGGACCTGAATTTGGATGCCTGCTCTTCCATTTTGTACCTCTGTGACTTTATGAAAATCACTTAACTTCTCTTGGCCTCAGTTTTCTCATCTGTAAAATGAGGGACTTATACTAGATGATCTCTATGGTTTCTTTCAGATCTAGATCTAAGGTTTTATGAAATATAATGAAAAGAGAGCAAGATAAACACATAGGTAAGGTTTAAAAAAGATAATGACGAAATGTCTAAGGGAGACTAATTTATCATTGAGGACAGTAAGGTTTGAGGAGGGTTTTGGAGGATGAATGGGAATTCAAAAACCAGAAGTGGGATAAGCCAAACATGTAAGGCAAAACATTCTAAGGAGATGTGTGTGAAATGTTTTCAGGGGATAGTGAGCAATTTAGTTTGAGCCTGATACTTGGAACTGAACATTTATGTGACTTCATTTTAACTAGGTTATACACTCTAACAGAGTTCTGCTCTATGAGAATATGATTGCCTTCAAAAGCATTAACAGAGTGGTTTCTTAACCATTTGCTGGGGTAATATTGAGCACTTTCTGAGATGCTGAATATATCAAGAAATTATTTATCACTTTCTGGTTAAGCACATCTCAGATTATTATTTTTCTTTTAAAAGCTTCCCTTTCTGCTTTAGCAGAATAATACATTAGATGCAATATTTCTCATCTCAAAGTACTAAATACCAGAGCGATTACTGAGCTATGGCAAGGTCCCATTTCTTTTTATCTTCCAGATGATTGTTTGTATCATTAATTTTTTTAGTGCTGACAGACTATTGCAATCCTTGAAGGGGCAAACCCTTTCCCATAGAATGCTATAAATCTCATGGCCACTGTGGTTGAAATATGTGGGCGTTTAGTGATAAGGGCCCTTGGTCAGTAGGGAAACAACTTTCTGAGGAACTCTTTTAATTGCTGTGATAATTTTTTAGCTATTTGTGACTCAGAGACCAGTAGTGAAGTTCACTTTGAATTAACCAAATTAAAAAAAAAAAGGATACCTAAGAAGCAGCTATGGTGTTTATTGGAGTGAAGATGGTTTAAGGCCTGGATTCCAGGAGGCATGTAAGTTTTAATAGTTAACAACAACAACAACAACATTTATAAAGTGCTTTGTTTTACAAAAAGCCTTAGAAATATTAAATATTATCTAATTTTATCCTGACAACACCCTGGGAGAGAGATGGCATTACTATCCACATTTTTTAGTTCAGGAAACAATCTTTTTTTTTTTTTTTTTTGGTTAGGCAATGGGTTAAGTGACTTGCCCAGGGACACACAACTGGTAAGTGTTATGTGTCTGAGGCTAGATTTGAACACAGGTTCTCCTGACTCCAGGGCCAGTGCTCTATCCACCGCACCGCCAGGAAACAATCTTACAGCAGGTAAGTGACTTGCCCAGGGTCACTCACAATAGCTACGAATTGTGTGATGTTAGATTTGAATCTTTCTGACTTACAGCCAGTGCTCTTTCCCTTGTGCCACACAGTGGCCTCTC